TACTGTATTTTAAGCAACTCCCACTCCGCTCCTCCCTCATCACCTCCTCCCAAGCTCGCCTCCGGGACTTCTCCAGAGCCTCTCCCATCCTCTGGAACTCCCTACCACAGTATGCCCGGTCAGCCCCCACCCTGTCTGCCTTTAGGCGATCTTTGAAAACTCACTTCTTCAGGGAAGCCTACCCCACCTCCACCTAAGAACTGTACTTGAATCACCTCCGCCAGATCATCACCTTTTGTATCACCTCCCCCTTCCTTTAGATTGTAAGCTCCATGAGCAGGGCCCTCCTATTTCTTCTGTACTGAAATGTATTGTAATTGTACTGTCTCCCTTATATTGTAAAGCGCTGCGCAAACTGTTGGCGCTATATAAATCCTGTATAATAATATTAAGCAAGTTATTTTTTCCAATCAGTTGCCACATTTATACCAGGTCTTAATACCGTGCTATTTAAAGCGGTATTGAACACCAAAAAAGTATTATGTTTCAGCTTACCAATCGTTAGAAGTGGTGGCTGCATTTTCATCTGGTGATCTGGCCAGTAACACACCTCCTGTATTAGAGTGCCTCCACTGTGGATGAAGGAGCACAGGGGACACCTATGGACAGAAGCACTGTCAGTCTGGGGGAGGGGAGTGTTAGATGGATTAGCAGATTTAAATGCGCTAACAAACTGAAGTCAAACTAGTTTACACTTTATAAGCAGTTACAGAAAACATTTTTTTTCTTTTGGGCTAAAGATTTTACATCTTTAAAAGCTCAATCAATAAAAGCTGATCATTGTAAGCACCCATGTCAGTGGTAGCTGCTGCATCTGCAGGAAAGCTTGATTTTTGAAAAAAAAAAAACCAAAGCAGACTTACTGGCCAGATCACCAGATAAAAATAAAAGAAAGCCTAAAAAGAAAATAAATGCAGCCATGACATCTAAGAACTGGTAATAAATGTTTGCTTTTTTAGCATAAAAGGGAAGTGAGGGAATGTAAAAAAACAATCAATCATACTCAGATGGCTGCGGCATTTCTCTGATGCTGCAGCTGTCCTCTGCCAGCTCTACACTGAGCACTGAGTGATCAAAGACTGCTCAGTTCTCGGGCCTGCTCTGAGCAGAGAATGGTGACTGTCAGTCACCAGTTCTCTGCTCTGCTCCTCCAGCACTCACTGGAGTTCTGTGGTATGGAGGGGGAGGAGGGAGCGGCTGGCTCAGGCTCTCAGAGGCACTCTGAGAGGCTGAGTCAGCTGCTGGTCAGTCATATGAACAGATCCTGACAATATTGTCAGGATCCCTGACAGTAGCCTGCTGTCGGCTTTTTTTTAGGTCACAGAAGTGGTATGGCCAAAAGAGCTTTAGCCATACTTCTCCTTTAATACCACCTTAAAATAGGGTTGAAATTTAAAAAATAAAATCACTGTCCAATGTTCACATTTAGAAAAAAGCTACACACTCTACATGGCCATAGACATGAGATAATGACCTTTCATTGAGAAAAGTTGCAACGATTGTTAGCTGCTAAGGTTAAAGACCATGCCATAAACATTAATAAGATTACTTGGAGAACTGAACAAACACTTTACAGAGGGGCCGAAATACTGTGTAAGCAAAAAGCCAGTTTACTGTCCAGGGATGGACTTTAATCAATGGGAGCAGAAAATGCCCCAGTGTCGGTGGAAGATAATGATTCCCTGGCTCAGTGGTCAGTGTTAGTCCGCCTCCCACTGGTTTTCATTGTGGACTGTAGTCTCTTGTCACATGACTTCTTGTTTTGAACCTTTCCTCTTCCCAGTGCTTGGATGAGGGTACAGTGGGCTCAGAGAGGGTTGTGCTGAATCCAATGAACACACTACCATGTACATGTAGAGGCTCAGATTCTGGGCATTCCTTCCTACTGGTAACTATAGAGATCCAGCCATGATTCAAGCTGGCTGCATGTGTTGAGTGTCAGGATAATAATTACCACCAATCAGCACATTTAATGAGTTGAAATGCAATGTGTTATTTGGAGCACCTTTGCCTGCCTTAATAATCAGGATGGTTTAGCCACAATATCTGAAAAGAAGCATGTCATTTAGTAAACCCATTCTCAGAGCTCTGCTTATTTCACTTCTATCAGAAATAACAAGTTGTAGAAATGTTCTGTGTATCGGATGTCAGTCACTCTGTAATATTGATTTTACCATCTCCAGTACAGAGCAATGAGTCACCCGGACCTGCTTCCTGCAGGGCACTGTGGGGATTGTTAGCTGAAACATGACAAAATGTTCCAAGTTCTCCCACCGGGATGCCTGGATGACTGATAAATGAAGTGCTAATATTCTGAATGTCATATAGGTCCTAGAGTACTATCTGTTTTGTAGTACCTACCTTCTGTTAACTGTATGCTCTGCCTCCCAACACTTGAGATAATTGGGAGAAATGACATTAAAATGTATCTAAAGCCAAAACCTTTCTTTTTATTTTATATAGAACGGTGAGGGGCTAGAGAAACTCTTCCCAACCTTTTTACCCCAGAGGAACCCTTGCAAGAGTTTTCAGATCTAGGGGAACCCTTGCTAAAAATTAATCATTGGTGGCCATTGGGAAAAATGCCCCTCTTACAATGGTGGTCAGATAGAGAGGTGAGGGGCTAGAACAACTCTTCCCAACCTCTTTACCCCAGAGGAATCGTTGAAGGAGTTTTCAGGTCTAGGGGAACCCTTGCTAAAAGCTATTCATTGTTGGCCAGTGGGAAAAACGTTTCCCTTGCAGTGGTGGTCATAATAACAACACCCTTCAAGACCAATAAAAAGGCTCTTTGAAGTGGCCCCAGAACTAAGCAAACACCATCAAATGGGAAGTCAGTCAGCCACAACTCTCAGTACCCCAAGCAACCTCTGGTGGATCTCTAGGGTCCTTGAAGCCTTGGGTAAGAATGGCTGAGTTAGAGCTTCTGGTTCAGGTTTTTCGTTGCCGTCTGTGGTCCTGCTGGGAGAATAATCCACTCTGTACTGGAGACCACTGCCACCCTAATGCCCCGATGTCAGGGATTTTAAATATTTTTGAGTTCTAAAAGCTAATATACAATCGGTTTCTGATCATTCGAGTTCTGATTAGTTATAGCCAATCAATGCTCATTTCTGGAAAAAAAAAAAAAAAAAACAGGTCATGCTATGCAAAAAGGTGAAGGAAAAGTCCCCTTTTCTGACCATGTTTTATGATACACCTATATTCAGGTTGGAACATGAAACAGCATGCACAACCCCAACTCCCCAAAACCCCATGCACTTGCAGAGGAACTCCCCGCTAGCTCCTGTCAAATTTGAATTTGGTGCAGCTGTGTGTGATTCCACCTGCACAGATGCTACCTTTATTCACAGAGAACTGTCAATGAAAAAAACATCAAATCTCATCTGCCACTGTGGCAGATGGACTGTAGTTCTCAATAAAGTAGTAACAGCACGATTCAGTGCGGTGCGATTTTCAGCCGATTCATTTGAATGGGCTGAAATCGCACAGGATCAGACTAAGAGCAGTGCATGCACCGCTTTTAAAAACACCATGCGATCCGGTGCAGGCAAATGCACTGTGTTTGGGTTGCTGTTGTGATTACATTGACACCCACAGCAGATCGCACACCCAGTGCGTTTTGAATGCGGTGTGGAAACCACGAACATATCATGGGTTTCCGGAACTGCTTTCTGGTGTGAATGAGCCCTAAATGACATGTAGCCCCTGAAGTTACCTTCCCTAGAAAAGGGACTTTTTTTTTGTGCCAAGCAGACAGCTGAGTTTCACTGAGTACAGTGAAGAAAAAAAAAATGAAACAAAAGTACAATTGCCATGGCAACATAGTCATTTCTTTTACATACCTTTTGATGCATAAGGACAGACAGGACTAGCTTCTGAAACGTGGAGCAGGGGGTTATTAGAGTATTTAGCCATGGTCACCAAGTATGCTTTAGCTTTCAGTTTTTGCTGTAGGAATGACCATTAAACATGAAGTCCAAAGGATATAGACAGCCCCTCTCTAATTTTTTTTTTTTCCCTCTAAAGCCAGCCATACATGGATTGAAATTCGGCCCATTCAGCAGGGACTGGTCGACTTCTCTACAACTGCCCTATCAGATTTATACCGCTCAATCAGTGCCGCAGGCTATAGTCAGCAGCACTGATTAGTTTATTTTGACGCCGGGAATATCTCTCTGCTGTCAGAATACAATAGCTCAGTAGGGGGGATTGGAAGGGAGAATCTAGTCATTTTTTTTTTTCATTTAACTCACTGGTTGAGCAAAAAAAAAACTTAAGTCATCTATGGCCAAGTAAATTTCATTGGATCTCATCCATCAGAGTGTCTGGAGGAAAATAGCAACTATATTATTTTTTGTATTGTTGAATCTGAGCAGGAAAAATGAGAGAACGTGACTGGTAGTTGTGGGTGAAGGTGGTTATACGTATACAATGAAGGGCACACTAAGTAATTGGGAGTATTGGGTGATCATTTGTGTTGTGGCCTAGGGACGAGAGGCATGCTATAGACGCCTGTGGCTTATACAGTAGGGCTGCATACAATAGCAACCAGATAAAGTTATCTAACCTATTCTCTGTTATGGACTTCAGCCAGCAGTTTCCATAGGTGCCCCATAGGGTACGATTGGACATCTGTGGTAATCTATGGGCAACTTTAGAATCTTCTAATATAGACTGGAGCTGCTTTTGTTTGTTATGTCTCAGAGAGAAGAATTTCTAGGGTAGAGAAACCAAATCATTCTCTTGAATTGTCATATTGAGTGCCCTATTTTCTTGTCTCTATATTTGTTTTCCTTCTTGATTTTGTTCCCTCCATAGGTTGCCTTATTATGCAGAAATAATTTCTTTAGCGTTGTAAATTGCTTTTTGTCTGGAGATGGCAAATTGTTTGCTTGTCTATAAATTGCTCTTGTCTGCTTGAATAAACAATGCTTACATTGCTCTCCCACTTGAACTACACGCAGATTAAATGTATTTTTTCTTTTTCATTTCTAGATATGAATATGGAATTTAACCCCTCTGATCATCCTCGGGCAAGCACAATATTCCTCAGCAAATCCCAAACAGATGGTTTGATATTTTACTTGTTTTTCTATCAAGCATGCCTAGTGTAAACTTACTGCCTGTAAACAATGTAAAATTGGGCAAAAGAATTAAAGTCTATATCCACATTTAGCAACGTGTCACATGTTACCCCTGTGTTTAGGGTGCAACATGTTGCTAAGCACCCTAACCTTGAGCACCCCCCCCCCCCCCTCCCTGGCAGCAGGTGGTTCTTCTCCCCCTGCTGGGGTGTGCTGGACGGTCTATTGGTCTATTGATGCTGGCTGCTGGTGGATCTATAATTGCTGGAGGGGATCTAGTTTTGTGCTAGGGTCTATTGTTGCTATTGGGGGATCTATAGTTGCTATGGGTGACTTATGGTGCTGGGGGATCAGTTGTTGCTGGGAGGGATGTACTGTTGAGAGAGAAGTATATTGATGCTGGCTGGTCGAGGATCTATTAATGCTACCTGCTAGGGGTCTATTGTTGCTGGGGTGGTAATTGTGGGGGGTCCATTGTTGCTGGGGGTCTGTTATTGTATAGGTGGATCTATTGTTGCTGGGGGGATATACATGTGTCTGTGTGTATGTACATGCGTGTATCTGTACGTGTGTGTGTGTACATGTCTGTGTGCGTGTACATGTGTATGTACGTACATGTGTCTGTGTGCGTGTACGTGTGTGTGTGTGTGTATGTACATGTGTCTGTGTGCGTGTACATGTGTGTGTGTGTATGTACGTACATGTGTCTGTGTGTATGTACGTACATGTGTCTGTGTATGCATGTACATGTGTCTGTGTGTATACATGTGTCCCTGTGCGTGTGTGTGTGTGTGTGTGTGTGTGTGTGTGTGTGTGTGTGTACAGGTGTCTCTGTTTGTGTGTGTGTATGTACATGTGTCTGTATGTAAACCTATATGTATGGGTGGTTTGGTCAGGTTCAGGATTATGGGTGGTAGAGTACGGGGCATTTGAGGTACTGCTGGGTTGGATAGTAGGTAGGATATGCTTGGTAGAGTTATGGTTTTGTGAGTGAAAGTTTATGGGGGGTTATGGTTGTGTGCGATGCGTGGTCTAAGTATGATGGACTGTTTAGGGGGACATTGGAGGCCCTGATGTAATGTGGGGAGACACTGGGGACCCTGATGTAATGTGGGTAACATGTAACAGTGTCATATCATGAAATAATTTACGAGGGCTTGTTTAGGGGCGGGGCAGGGTAGGGGTTTGGTGGGGAAACTGGTGGCGAGTAACTCTTAAGGCCTGGCTAGTAGCTCAGGGCTTGAAATTTTAAGCCCTGATATACATAGTTCTGTCACAATGGGGCTGATTTACTAAAGGCAAGTAGACTATGCACTTTGCAAGTGCAGTTGCTCCAGATCTTAGTAGATTAGGTGAAGCTTCACTTTGCAAAGAATACCCAATCACTTTCAGTGAAAATTTAAAAAAAAACAGCATTTTTGCTTGCACATGATTGGATGGTGGAAGTCAGCAGAGCTTCCCCTCATTTACTTAGCTCTGGAGCAACTGCACTTGAAAAGTGCACAGACTATTTGCTTTCATTAAATCAACCCAATGTCCTCTTTTTTTCATTCTGCCATCTTGCAGAAATATTAAAGTGTATGTATAGCCAAAACGTTTTCCTTTGGGATAATGTAGAACAGCCTTTCTCAACCTAGAGGAACCCTTGACATACTTTCTGGGTCTCAGAGAACCCCTGCTAAAATGAATTCATCAGTGGATAGTGGAAATAATGTTCCTTACATTGATGGTCAGTGGGAGAGAATGCCCCTCTTACAGTGGTGGTCAGAATACCAGACCTACAATTAGCTAAAAAGATCTATAGTGTCATGCCGCTGGCTCTGCCAAGTGGTGTTGGACCCAGAAATATGTAGGTACCGTCAACCTGCCTCAGCTTGAGGAAGTCTATTTGAGAATGACTGGAAGGGTTAACACCCCTGTTAGTTTTTTCTTCTGTGTCCCATTGAGAAGATTCCTCTTCTCTTCCTGTTCAGGAGACTCAAAAGGAAGTAAGAGGAAATCCCTCTAAAGTGAGGGGGATTTCCCTGCTAGGCAGTTGTCATTGGAACATTTGAATCCATTGGAAAATGTACCTTCACCTCTTGTTCTGATAACTGTAAAATCACATTTTGTGCCACTGACAATGACCACTGAGGGTAATAAAGAGGCGGAGCCTCCCCAGCAAGGACATGGAAATTAAAACTTAAAGTGGTTGTAAAGGCTGAAGGTTGTTTTTTACCTTTGTGCATTCTATGCATGAAGGTAATAAGCTTTCAGTGTGCATCTCCTCCTTCGGCTCCCCTAATACTTACCCAAGTTCGAACCTGATCCAATGATGTGCACAAGAGCAGCGGCTCTCCTGGGTCTCTCCCTCCTCATTGGCTGAACCCTGAGAAGAGGAGGATCACGGCTTCTCTGTGCAAAACCATTGCACAGAGCAGGTAAGTATAACATGTTTGCTATTTAATAATAAAAAATAAAATTCTGAACCTTTAGTATCACTTTAACAGGGATTCTAACCCTTCCCTACTCTAGGAATAAAATTAAACATTCTGGCTCTACATACACTTTAAATGGTCAGTCCACCAGAAATGCTATTTTAATTATGGGTAGATTTTGGGGCAAGCTAAGTCACACACCAGCCTACATCTTTCAGGGACTGCAGCTGTGGGCAATGGAGGTGTCATACTGTGCTGCTGGGTGTATTCTTTACCATATATTTCATATGCAGAGGGAGGCATGCACTGCCATGTTAATAGTAGAAGTATGAATGGTTACGGGACGCAGAACGCCCAGAGAAGCCAGTCAGTGACTCCCCCTAAGTTAAACATAAGGTTTTGGCAGACTAACCATTTAACAACTGAATGAAGCAGAAAATGCCCTTGGTTTGGTGCCAAATACAGTAACATCTAGGAATTGTGTGTTGCTTCTGCATATTTTACTCCCCTTATAACCACACAGATGTTGTTTTAACTGTGCATGACTCTGTTATTGCTGAACTAATGTCCTTGTTGTATTTTCACAGTGAGAGAAAAGCGGAAAAGCCTTTATATAAATCATGTGAGTAATATTCAAGTAAATAAATATGTTAATTGCGCCAATGCCATAACCATGTAGAAAGGAATCTTCGGGCAGTTTTGTCAGGCTGCTCCAAATCTGGATGGACCATGATGTTCATTGTAGGTTTAGTTTTGTGGTTTTTATTGCAGGAGTTGGATGTTAGGTTATTGATGTCATAAAGGAGCTCCAGTGGTGGTCCTTCACATCATGGATCAGTGGAATCAGGTCACAGAGCACCACTACAGGATAACAAAAAGGCTGAAGTCTAAAATCAATCCCTTAATTGTCAATAAAATACAAAGAAGCTAACATGTTTCAGGGGACAAAACACATTTGATGCTTTGTATTGTATTACCAATAAAAGAATTTGCTTCTATTTTATCGTATATCACTTCGCCATGATCTTATTCTACTGATCCATATGCTGCACATAGCAGGATCCTCCCTAGCTCATCTAGACACTTAAAAGAAGAATTATGGGGTAACCTAAACATTTTTTACTCACCTAGGTGGATGTTGTATTGGTCCCCTGCCACTTCTAAGACTGAGAACTGAGAGATCAAAGAACGCTGATCGTTCAGCTCTCAGCCTTCAGTGCTTTGTCCCTCCAGCGATCACTGGAGCATCGGTCTGTGGAGGGGGCAGGAGCTTCCAGCTCAGGTTCTCAGCAGCTTGTTGAGAGGCTGAGCCAGTCGGCATCTTTCCTGCACCTGGACCAGATCAGTGACGTCCTCTGTTTGAGAGCCTTAACCTGCTGTCAGCTGAAAATGTGTCACAGGAGTGCAGAACAAACTGCACTCCTGTGATCCATAGGAGAAGTAGGGCCAAGTAGGGCCATACTTCTTCTTTAAACGGGCCATACATGGATTGAAATTTGGTCGGTTCAGCAGGGACCAGCCGAATCTCAATCCATGTATGGGCAAAGAGGTTTTACAGAGGTCCATCCACTGATCAACATCTGTACAAGCGTCCTGTCATTTATTTTTCTCTTGCTCAATCAACATCAGTGGCTATAGCCAGCAGTGCTGATCAGTGTATTCTGTGAGTGGGAAAGTCTCTGCACTGTCAGAATACAAAAGCTCAGCGGGGAGGATTCCTCCATCCACATCAAGTGTTGAATGCGAAAAAAAATGACTCATGTTGGCTGCCTAATCTCCAGAATGCCTGGGATCTATAAAGGATGGTTCTTTAAAATCTCAAATTTGAATAGAGAACTCTTTAAAGGAAACCTGTATTGGGAGAAATAGGGGGTTTGCCATTGTTGACCTCTGTCTAAGAATAGTGGTTGCCTGGCTATTTCTGGCATCAACACACTGAGTCACTAGCCTAGAACCAGCCTCCAGATTACAAACTTGAAGTCGGAATTCTTGATCTTCATGTTTACTCTGGATCTGTACCTTAGAAAGCTATTAGATCAGCATGAAAACCAGGCAGTCGGCATTTTCAGGCGAGGACAGCACTCACGAACACTGGCAACTCCTGTACTGTTTATTTGCCTCTTCTGTTTCTTCTCTGATCTAGTTTTACATTGCAACTGTGGCCTGTCTACTCTAACTTGACTACCCCTTACTGTGCTACAGGTATTGCACTGTGCAGCGTGACTCCTTTTAGACCGTGGAATCATGGCTGCCATTGAAAGTCTAGCTCCAATAACAAAGTGAAACTAATGCATGCCATAGACGGGTCGTTTATCGGCCGAATTTTCATCCGAACGAAAAATCGGCCAATATTCACACCGTTATTGGGGCAATGCCGTCGGCCGTTTTTCGCGGATCTTCTCATTTCTTTTTATCGGTCATGCTGGAAAATCCACGAAAAACGGAGGTTTTTCGTAAGCATTGGTAGCAACATCCATGGCAGCAACTACCGATTTTTCATTTATCGTCCGACAATTTGGCCGATAAACGGTCCGTCTATGGCCAGCCTTATTCAGAAGGGCACAGAAGAGGGTTTTTTTGGCTTCTAAAGGCATCGGGCATCTTGCAGTGGCTGCCATGGGACAGCATGTTTAATTTTAAAAGTTTTAAATGGTGCCCAGGTTAACTTTAGGCAGCCTTTCTCAACCTTTTAACATCGTGAAACTTTGATGTAACTTTTTTTGCTCCAGGGAACCCCTGCTAATATTATTTTTACAGCAATACATTAGTTTAGCTCAGTAAGAAAAATGCTCCTTACGTTTGTGGTCATTGGGAATAATCCCCCCCTTACAGATAGCTGCAAAGATCAGTGGTGTCAGTGGTTACTCATCTTAGAGGCAGAAATCACTTATTGCTCAAGGAACCCCCTGCAACCTTTTTAGGAAGCCTAGAGTTCCCTTGAACCATGGTTGAGAAACCCTGCTTTAAGGACTTGTGTAGGTGGGTTGCTGTCTGCTTTTGGAGAAATTTGGAATGGCTTTTGATTTGGATTTTATGCAGTTCTACATTTGATTTTCTTTGCATTTTGGTATACACAGCATGTCCTAGTCTCACCTTTTTTCCTGCCATACAAGTCAATTTTAAAACAAACAAAAGTAAGACAGTATTTCAAATGTGAGCCTCCCTCCCCTCCCCCCCCAAAAAAAAAAGCATGCTGTATACTGTACGTCTTGCTTCTGAGCAGAGCCAGATGATTCACTAGTCAACATAGTCAGGAGCCTAAGGTCTGATGGATGTTTGGGGGGATCCATCTACATGTTTCCTGCTTTATTGCTCTTACATTAGGCTAATTTAGCACAGTTGTACACTCACTGGCCACTTTATTAGGTACACCTGTTCAATTGCTTGGAAACACAATTTGCTAATCAGCCAATTATATGGCAGCAACTCAATGCATTTAAACATGTAGATGTGGTGAAGACAACTTGCTGAAGTTCAAACCGAGCATAAGCATGGGGAAGAAAGGGGATTTAAGTGACATGGCCTGGTTGTTGGTGCCAGATGGGCTGGTCTGCGTATTTCAAAAACTGCTGATCTGTTGGGATTTTCATACACAACCATTTCTAGGGCTTACAGAGAATGGTCCGAAAAAGAGAAAATATCCAGTGAGGGGCAGTTGTGTGGACAAAAATGCCTTGTTGATGTCAGAGGAGAATGGGCAGACTGGTTGCCACGACATTCAGATGCTAGAGTCAGAATTTGGCATAAACAACATGAAAGCATGGATCCATCCTGCCGTGTATCAACAGTCCAGGCTGGGGGTGGTGGTGGTGTAATGGTGTGGGGGATATTGTCTTGGCACTTGCAAGGTGTACCTAATAAAGTGGCCGGGTGAGTGTATTTGTAGACTGTTGGGGCCATGCCGCCACAGACAATACAGTAGGGTTTCTGTTTGCCTATTGCAGTCCTAATCAGTGTTTTCCAAAAGGACGAGGGGGTATGCGCTGCTCTTATTCTGCCATTTCATGATTGTTTCTATATATTATATGACATACATAATCCCTAAATGGATGTTCTACCCCAAATTGTGTTCAGTTTAGCTGCATTTTAAGTCCTCATGCACACTGGACGTTTTTACAGTGGCTGTTTTTGGCTTTTGATGTTTTTTTCTTCAGCTAGTAAACCCCCCAGCATGTTATCCTATGTGTCCATGCACGCATAGACTGTAGTCAACATGTTTTGGCTGGAAGAAAAACCTAGGACTAGTGGGTTTCTAGAGGAATTTTTTTTCTGTAAAAATGCTCTAACGCTGAAAAACGCGGTAAAACGCCACAAACTGGAGTTTTTGGACATCTTTTTGAAAAAAAAATTTTTTTGTTAGTAAAAAAAACGCAAACGTGGAAAAACGCTGCTAAACGCTAATGTAAAACCGCTATAAAAAGCTGAAAACCTCATGTTTTTAACGTGACTTTACACAGCTAACGTTACCAGCGTTCTCAAAACATCCCAGTGTGCATGGAGACTTGGAGAATAGAATTTTGTGCATCCGAAGGCAGATTAGGTACTCTGAACACGTCTAGATGCATGTAAATGCCTTTAACACAACGACATTTAAAAGGAGAACTTGATCTGGGAAGCCTAAAGTTTGTTCTACTTCCCAAGTATTTGCTCCTGTGTTTAAGTCAACAAAAGTCCAGAGGTGTGTATAAACAGAGCCTAAGAAGATGGAAAGTGATTCAGTCTATTCATCTGCCCAGAACTGAAATGCTTCTATTTTCTAAAATTAGTATTTTGATGCCCAAAGGCCCTTAAAGTATTAAACCCAAAAGCAAAATATTATTTTGCAGCTTTTCATTTCTTAGATGTGATGTCTGCATTCATGTTCTTTTTTAGGCTTCCTATCTTCTATTTTCATCTACAGCCAATAAGCCTGTTGTTTTTCAAAAGAAAAGGCTCTCCAGCAGAATGTATCAGTTTACAGGGATGGGACAAACCATTTAACACTGTCAGGGATGCGTACAATGATCATCTTTTATTTTCTTTATGTCATAAGGAAAAACAAAAGTGTTGCTGGAGTTTGGCTTTAATTTGTTAGTGTATTTAAATCTGTAAGTACATCTAACACTCCCATCCCCCAGACTGACAATGCTGTTGTCCAAAGGTGCCCCCTGTGCGCCTTCATTCAGAGTTTAGGTGTTCTAATACAGGAGGTGTGTTACTGGTCAGATCACCAGGTGAAAACAGAAGGAAAAAAGCCTAAAAAAAGAAAACGAATGCAGCCACAACATCTAATGATTGGTAAGCTGCAATATATTATATTTTTGGTTTTGGGTTTAATACCGCTTTTATCTCCACTTGGAGAAGTATATAAAAATCTTTAACCTGCGTTTGATATAAACTCCTTTTGTGTTTTAAGTGTGTGCTGCTGAGCATCTACTTTAATCCCAATCAATGTTCTCAGTTTTCCACAGCAAAGACAGTGAATGGCAGCCACACTAAATGAAGGTCAGATACGGAGGGCACATCTTTCATTTCCCAATACACTGAGATAAATGGCTCTGAGCTCCCTTGTTAACCCCTGTTGCTGCTGCAAAAAGTATACTGTTTTCATGGCAGTAAACATTGATGATAGGATTTCCACTG